CAGTACTATTCCTACAGTCAGTGTTTAAGCAAACTAGCCCTCGAAAACAGTCTTTCACCACGACTAAGTCCTTGGGCACTCGTGCGCGCATCGACGTGGTGGCAATGGCACTGGGTGGTCACACCGGCCAGTCTAGCCCCTGCCTGCCCCAATAGCGAGCCGATGCTCACCTAGATACGAACATGAAGCGGTGGGTGGTGAAGCGATGAACGGAGACATGGTCCCGAGCTCTCTCCACGGCAGCGGACTCCTCCCTACAACGGCAGCCATGTTTGCATGAGCTCAGGCACAACCGAGATGAAAGGACTAGTGGACAGGCATCAGCAACTCACCCAGAACCTACCAGACGTGATGGCTTAACCGGGGATGGACCGAGTGAGTCCGGCCACGCGCGCACGGGGCAGGTAGTAGCAGTGCAAATTGAGTGCGCACGAGGTGGAGGACTGCAAGGCGAGGCTGGGGGTGCAACCAATTGGACTCGGGAGGACCAGGCGCGTAATGCCCACAGCAATGACGTCTAAACCTTTAATGGCGCGACGGCGGGCGTCGGCTCCAAATTAGAGCTTGCCTAAGCACGATTGGACACGGTGCGGGGTCAATTGGCCAGAAGACTTGATGACGGAGTCGAACGCGCGCTGAATTGAATGGACACGACCTCACCATGCCGGATTGAAGGCGTGGCCTGGCTGGCCCGACAGCAGAGGAGGGAGGGGAAAGGAAGGGAATGGGGTCTGGCTGTTTGCCCGAGCCTTGGTGGGACATGACGACTGCACCCGAGCAATCATTGCGAGCTAGCGCAGTCAGGAGAGGGGGCATACCCTCGTGCAGGCGGTGGCAGCGCAGCAGCGCGATCGTGGTGCCATTAATGGCAAATGACATGCGGTGGCCTCGGCAAGACCACGTGCACTAAATCAAGACGACAGCGACGTAGAGGCGTAGGCGGACACGACGGCTACGTGCAGTGGCGTGACGGTGACAACGCGGGGCAGCACGGTGACGGGACGGTAGCGCAGCGACGTAGATGGACGCGACGCAAGCGGTGCGAGCACACGCGGGCGACCTAGCTCTCGCGACCGCGCCTAGCAGCAGCGTGATGACATAGCAAGGCAGGCGGCGGTGGACTGGCTAGGGCATCAGGCCCGCGATGCCAGCGGCGGAGCAGAGCGGCTAGGCCCACCGGCCCCCAGCGTCCCCCGAGCGCAGCGGTGCGTGTGTGTGCGTGCGTGAGTCACGTGCTTGGGCACGGCAGCGGCGATGTAGGGCCTACGCGGCGATGTGCGCGCGTTGGGCGCACCGACGCGGCGACACCGAGAGCCGAAGCATGGTGACCGCGCCTAGTCGCTGAAACCGACCGGCAACGCGCCATGCACGCTTTTTAAAGCGTCTGAATAAACTTAAAATATTAATCTAACCGACAAACCACCTATACAATTCTTAAGAGGGCATATTAGTTTATCAAAACCAGCCATGACAGCTAAGACAGCTAACTTAACAACTCTTTCACCCTTGCTATCTTGCTGGGTGCGGTAGTGCCGCACCTAGAGAGAGGCACTGCCGCACTAGCGCACTTAGGGCGACACTACTGCACTTAAGTAACCGTTGGGAGGCAGGGGGGTATTTATACTTTTCCCTGTCCTCCATAACGTCACTCTCTTCTTCCCCAACGGTTCAGACCGACGAAAATCAGTAGGTGCTCATCTCCTCTCTCCTTCATTGGTGCTCTTCAAGCTCTCAAGCTTTTTCTTCGATTTCCCCATCAATCCTTGAGAGAAAAAGGTGCCAAATATGATTAGAGAGCAGCTCTACTGATTCCCAAAGCCTAAAGAGCATTTGGTTAACGTTTTGGCCGGTGTTTGTGTTTGTTACTCTTGGAGCTTAACTCCTAGCCGGCTAGGGCATCGTCCGCTGAGCTTGTCAAGTTTATGGCAGCCCCGAAATGTTTGTAACCACCTCTTGCAACGAATAAAATCACCCCTTATCTCAAGAGTTTACTCTCTTGACTTGAGAACGAGGTAGGGTTGCAAAGCCCTAAGCCTTAGTGGTATACCTCAACAATATGAACTTAGGCAAGCCTTGGTAGCGAGCTGAACCACGAGATAAATCCTTATGTCATCTTGTGATTGTGTTGTTACACTTGTGTTCTTGTTGTTATTGAGGTGATTTCTAAGGTTTGAGACTGATCTACTTGTGTGTGGTGTTCCCACCACTTTCAGCTGTCGATCTGTGATCTACTACCCTGCAGGAAGCTAAGAAATTTACCCGATCTAAATTTCATTGGGTAGATTTTGAACCGTGAACTAATCTTTCATGCAGGTGCGGCAGTGCCGCGGGTGAATTTGACTTCGGTTTGAGTTGAATTTTTACAGGCCTATTCACCCCCCTCTAGGCGTACTAGAGATCCTACACATTCAACCGAGAAACAATCACTTGAACTATCTCTGCGACTGGACGTAGGGCTCTGGCCTAAACCAGTATAATTTCTTGTGTCTTTGGATGTTACCATCGCCTTACTAGAGCAGCACGACACACGTATAAATTCACTTGCCGATTAACAAAACACCAATAAGTTTTTTTTTCGATCTTGCTAAAAAATCAAGATTGTGAGTGGGTTTTGAAAACTCTTAGAGATACTAAGTAGTTCTAAAAAATCAGTTGCTAAATTGATGTGTTTTCGAAGTGGCTAAAAACGTTGGGAGCAAAGTTGTTTGGGTCCTCCAATAGTTTCCAAAGTTCCATTTCTAAAATATATAAGGCAATTTTGCATTATTAATCCCAAACTATTTTCAAATCACACTAATTCTCTTAGGGCCTGTTTTATCCTTCGAATTAAATTCATTCTAATAATTACAAATTAGACAAAGATTAATTAAGCTAATATAATTATATATGAAATATATTTATTGTTATGCATATAATGGATATACTTATATGTTGCATTTCTATTGTAGGAAAGTGAGTTGAAGAGTGTGATATAAGTTGGAGAGTAGAATTATAGCACAGTGATATTTGGAATACATTTCCATCTCATAACCTATGAATTTGAGATAAACTTATTTGTGAGCTCGAAAAAGTTATGAAATACCAAATTCCAAAGTGAATAGCCTACTCCTCCGGAATGAAGGGATGCAAACGGTCCCTTATACATTTGCATCGGAACCACGTCCTTCTCCTTATTCCATGTCCCTCCATCTTTGGATTAGCCGAACACATACCCGTGCCTATGTTTCCGTGCGGTTGCGTTGATTCGGAGAGACTGGGAGTTGAAACACGGAGTCGTTGGAGAGCGTTTTCTAAAGTTTAGGAGTGGGTTTCCGAAACTCTCGGAGAGAACACACCGTCGCCCTACGCGGTCGGATCCAGTGGGCTGCACGGGTATGGTCCGTCCGGCATCCCTATAGGCCCAGCCCAATAAAGATACAAGTATTATTCTGTTAAAAAAAAAACATCCGCTCCCCTGCCGCACCCGCGACGTTTCACGCTCGCGACTCCGCTCGCCTGCTCCAGCGATAGCGGCGACCCGGCGAGCTCCTCCCTTGCCCGGAGCCCCTCGTCCGTCCCCGGACCCCGCCCCGGCGGCCCCACCACCCCAGCCGCAGCGTCCCCGCTCCCAGGCTCCCAGCCCGACCGCCCCCGTCCCCGGCGACCGGCGTCCCGGACGGCCACGGCCCCAGCGCCTGGTGAGCAGCTCCCCTCTGGTTCCCCCCTCCAGTCTCTTCCTGTTAGCAAGTTTTCCCCAGGTTCCTAACCCTAACTTTCCTTTATATGTGATCTAATTTGTTAGCTAGTTGTTGTTAGATTTTTTCTTGATTTAGTTCAATTGATGTAGATTGTAGATGTATGCAGTAGGGATTAGGCATGTATTAGTTGATTACTTATGCTTCTTCAGGTGGCGAAGGGCATTTTTTGGAATGGATTTTTTTTTTATCAAAATCAAACTGAGAAATAAGATGAGTAATAGTCTTTTGGACGATTGCCTTGTCACGTTCATTGAGAGGCATTTTGGATGATATAGATGAAGATGACGTAATTAAGACTTTCATGGCCATTAGAAAGCGTAGGCCCAAAAAGTAGTGTTGTAATCCTATTTGACATTTAACCTTTTATTGTCGTGTATATTCCTAACTATTAGTGTGCTGTTTTGAACTATTTATGATAATTTAAGCCTTATTATGCTATTTAGTAATTGTGTACTGAATTGTGGGACAATTTTTACAATACTTTACAGAATTGCTAAATGGATTTTACCGGTTTGCATATGAAAATTTTGGTTCCGCATACCCCATATAAAAATCCTAGATCCACCACTGCCTATCACCTATGTACGGTTGACATGTCTGTGTTATCATATCATTCCTATGTATAGTATCACGTAGCTGTTCTTTACTTTGCATTATCGATTACTAGCCGATATCGACATGTCGTGGTACAACCCACTTTCTTCAATACCATTTTCGTTTTCATTTCTGTGGAAAAGTATGAAAATGGAAACAATTTAGGTCTCTTCTGACCGTTTTGATCCCCACCCAGCCTCATATGTTTATGCCAGAGTAGTCATATGCATTACTATTATACATTAATCATGTAAAAAACTATTACACTGTCTGAAAGTTCCGTTATGTGTAAGATTGTTCTTGTTGTAGTGATGGTAACATATGTCTGGATCCACAAAATACTAGCATTTTATATAGCCTCATTTTGAACTAAGTAATTTCATTGGAATTCTTGACTATTTCTTTTGTTTCCAACAAAAGTATTTCATTCCAGTCAGGCCAAGTATTATATAGCTAATAATTCCATGCCATAAGTGATCAATTGAACATTAACAATTTTCTCAAACCTTAAATTATTATTGGTGGCTATATTGGGGGTTCCTTCTGGTTAGGTGCTTTAACTCTATCATGCCATGTATCTCTTTACAGGCTACACAGAAAAATCTGCACCCAAAAGTTGTAAAGGTCACCAAGAACCTCGCAGGATAACAAAAGTGCTGAATTTTGGAAATGGATCATGGGCGTTATGCTCCACAACATGGATGGGAGAACAACAGTGTAATTGCAGTCTTTTCCTTTACTAACTACTGAAGATGATGAAATAGCAGAATTTTGGCCATGCAGTTGGCCTCTGTGTATCCAGCGTTAGTTGTAAAGAGTTCAAGAAGAGGCCGTTGCTTAAATGGAATGGATTTACCTGCCCGTTCTGTAGAACTTGTTGCTGACTCGACTTATTCTGTTGAATCTACAGGCACCGAATGGGTATGGTGTAATCAATGAGCCAGATTTTAGGTAAGCCAACTGGTCATTCTAGTGTTGTGTTAACTGGGGTATTCATGTCCTTTATTCCTGTAAAACGTGTCGAATCTTTTTCTGATTTCTCTAGTAAGCCGAGATATGTTTTTATTTAGTAGTGGGTTAACTCTTCAACAAGTTCTCCCCTTTTGTGATTTCTGTCATGCCTTTAATATTTATATAGTGCTTTGCCATATTACCATATCTTCCCCTATTAACTTAATTTGCAGGTCTGGTGGATCGTACAATGGTAGGAGATCTGTGGATGAAGGCTTTCCTAGAGATTCATATGGGAGGGGTGCATTCTGTCAGGATGCACATGATAGAAATATGTATACACCACCACCATCTGTTGGTGGAATGTGGTCTCAGCCTCGAAGGAATCATGATGAGGAATATGCAACTACAAGAGATCACAGAAGGCACGACACTAATTATCGCAATGATGGAAAGCCTCATGAGTTTGATTCATACAGAGGAGTTGATAGACTCCGTGATAATTATCATGCTACTGACAACTATTATGAATCTGGCAGTCACCGTGATTTTGGTGTTGATAGGAGCAAAAGGATTGGAAGCAGAGAACGTGCCGAGTTTCATGGTGAGTTTGAAGACCGGTACCGCAGTTCACACCAAAGCAAAGACGACAGCTATAAGAGAGATCATGAATATGGTCGTTACGGTTATGATTCGGACTATGGGAGAGGCAGGAGAGATAGTAGCTGGAGAAGACGCGATTCATGTGAGAGTGAACGCGAAAGAAGTGGAGTAGGCCGTGAAAGAGAGGAAAGTCCATACATGCGCCATAGCCGTTCTCGATCACGTGGGCGTGATGACCGATCAAGATCACGGTCTAGATCAAGATCTCCTCGTGCGAGAAGTCATGGTCGGAACCAAAGAGATGGCCTGTATGATGATAATCGGTTTGACAGAAGAAGGGAATATGATTGGGATGATAGGAGGCATGGTGATTCAGTGGTATGGACATACTGCATACATACATACATACATTTGTAGCTGTGAGTTTGGAATTTACAAACCATGAGTTTGCATTCATGTTTGCAGGCCCCATCTGCCACTGTTGTTGTCAAGGGACTGCCCCTGAAGACTAATGATGATGACCTATATCAGATTCTTGTACAACTTCCTCTTCATAACTTGTTGCACCGGTTGAAAGTGTATTGTCTGGTTCGTTTTAATCATTTCGCTCTGTTCTCTTGTAGGCTCAGTGGGGCCCTCTCGCAGTGTGCGTGTGATCAAGGAACGGAATTCTGGCATGTCTCGTGGATTTGCTTTCATTGACTTCCCCACCGTGGTACTAATCAAACACAAGTGTTATTCCATTACTCATCCAAACTTTCCTGTACTGTTAACACAGCTGTATCCTCTCCACAGGAAGCTGCCCGTAGAATGATGGAAGCTACTGGAGAGAATGGTCTCGAAATTGATGGCAGGAATGTGTTCTTTCAGTACAGGTATACGTGTTTTTCTATTTAGAAATAAGTATGTTTCACTCCATCCTATACATAGCCGTCCATCCTATGCAATCTCTGCTAGCGTGCTGGTGAATAAATGAGTATGCAGTGCATGGTTGCACTTTTTTTTTTGTTGCTAAATTAGTGTCTTGAGTTGTATTATGCTTTCGGAGTTGTTGTCCTTTTTTGTATCCTTTGTAACTATACTTCTTACTCGAGGTTGCCTTGAGCTATGAAGTTCTCATTTGTCTCGGCCATATATTCTGTAACTGGCATGGGTAATTATAAGCTAGTTGTATTGACCATGTTTGTTTCTGCTTATATAATCCGATTCTCGGTGAAAAAAAAGCAAGACTACCATAAGACACTTCGATTATTTCTGCTTTTTTCTGAACTAGCACAATCGAGAATCGAAAAAATTCCCACGGTACGGCGATTATAATCGAGTCTTCTGTAAGTGGAAACACAATCCAATAATTCTCATAGTAGGCTAGCATATAACCAAACAGGATACTCTAATTTCTCTTTCCTCTTCATTCAAATTATAGGCCACTTGAGCTTTATCCTAAATCAAACTTATCTGACTTTGACCAAATTTATAGAAAAACACACCAACATATACAGCATCAATTTATTTTCACTGAAATCTCTATGAACTAGGTCTTCATATTGCATTTATTTGAACATGTTGATGTTATTATATTTTTCTAAAAACTTGGTCAGATTGAGAGAAGATTGACTTAGGATAAAGGTGGAGTGACATATAGTTTGGAATGGAGATGTAGTAGTTATTTTGATGACATAAGATCACAGGACTCCAATTCAATTAGAGTTCATTAATAAAAACATTCAGCAGTTCTGTAAGATTTCAGTGGGGAAAAGTGGTGTTACTTTATTATGTTACCATGGGAAGGTTCTTGTGATCCTTATACGTCAACAAAGTTCTGTTAGTGCGTGGTTGGGTGGGTGGGGGCGAGTCTTGTCTTCCTTTTAATGTTGTACTAGCCTTTTGTGCTCATGTGTTTATATAAAATTCCTTCCAGTGCAGTTAATTCTAACACTGTCTTTACTGCAGTAGTAAACCAACCAGTGGGACGGGTGGGCCTTCTCTTGGACAAGAAAATTTTACACGGCCTACTTATGGGCACAGGACTGTTGCTGCACCATGTGATTGGATTTGTACTATATGCGGATGTATGAATTTTGCCCGCAGGACCTCGTGTTTTCAGGTACTTGTAAGGATATTATTTTTCATATCACATTTCCATTGCCGCTCCCCCCCTCCCTTCCGTCCCACACACCCCATCTGAACACCAGCTTCTGTACTATCGTGGCCTGTAGTTTAACTGGTGAGTGGGTTAGTGGCAGGGCAGGGTGATGTGTTGGATTTCGTCTACTTGTTAGTTTGTTCTACTTAGAGAACACTGCCATACTGTTGTGTAATTTTCTGTTTTTCTATATGTGCATGAAAATACTACAACTCTACTTTGCCTCATTTTTCCTAAGTTAATAGCTGGGTAACTAATTAGTTTTGTGATTTTGCTCTGGCTAATCATATGTTTATTTGTATTTGCATAGTGCAATGAACCTCGTACTGAGGATGCTCTACCAGCTGATGCGACAGGTTCCACTCCACACTTTGGGAGAAGGGGATCTGATCTAGGCAAGTTTTGTGCTTTCGTAGTTTCGTTCTGGAATTATGTAAAGTATGTATCGGTATCGTGCTGCCTTATTTAGTTGCGGTCATTTGCAGGTCCAACTCATGTTTTAGTTGTTCGTGGCTTGGATGAAAATGCTGATGAGGAAATGCTTCGGTACGAATTTGCTAAGCACGCACCAATAAAGGTGGGGAATAAACTAATTGCTTGATTAGGTTTCTCTTATTTTTCTGGACACATTACATGTCATTTTTCACCAGGACATCCGTCTTGTTCGGGATAAGTTTACTCATGTGTCTAGAGGTTTTGCCTTCGTTCATTTCCATTCGGTAAGTAGTGTTGTCTGGTGGATTGAGTTGAGATTTTCCTTTTTTGATGTATATAGTTCGTTACAATTTTCAACATCCTGTTGTGACAGGTGGAAGATGCTACGAAAGCTCTGGAAGCTACAAATGGGATTACACTTGAGAAAAACGGTCAGGTTTTGCGTGTAGCATATGCTAAAAGTACACATGGACCTGCATCAGGGGGTTCGCAGTCAAACAGCCTTGCTGCAGCTGCCATTGAGGCTGCATCATTTGCTCAGCAGGTTTGTTATAGCTCCTGACACTGTAAGATTAAGCATTTACTGTTTCTATTTATATATTACTTCCTTTGTTCTTTCTTACAGTATTTGGTTCTTTGCAAGCTGCACTGTCAAATTTCTGAGACTTGACAATTCTGAAAGCATGGGGATTGGGCATATGAAAAATATCACTAGATCTGTTTCTAAAAGCACTTAATAGTCATTAATTACTAATGGAAAGTACTAAAAATCAGAACCACATTTTTAAAAATGCTAAGATGTCAAATAAGCAGAATGAAAAAGGACAGGGTACTGACCTTCATCACATTCTCATGTTAACTAAGCGCATAGTTTAGGCAGGTTGAATACATGTTGCTCATTGGTTTAATACCTTTGCCTGTTGGACCAGTATGATGCCATAGGTTGGGCTCCAAAAGAGTACAATCCTGATGACAAACAGAACAGCAACTCTGAATCTCAAAAAGATGGTGACGCAGCACAGTCGGGATTTGTTTGGGATGAAAAATCTGGTTACTACTATGATTCCGCATCTGGATTCTATTATGATGGAACTACTGGTAAGTCTATGAGTCTACCACATCAAAATTTTGTTAAAACCATTACTAATGTTGTTGGTAATGTTATGGTTACGGATCTTTTTCCATTTATGTTTAATATGTAATCTTGTTTGTTGTAGGCCTTTACTATGACAGCAACTCTGGAGTTTGGTATTCAATTTATCAACAGACTCAACAATATGTCCCTTGTAACGACCAGAGCAATACTAAGGCAGCCGGGGAGGCGGCCAGTGAAAACACGAAGACCTCAGATAGTAATAGTGGCAAAAAGGTTGTGATCTCTGCGCCTGCTGCCACAATTAAACAAAATGAGAAAACTTCACTTCCTGATGCTGTTCAAGCTGCTGCAAATGCAGCCCTGGCTGCAGAAAAGAGAGAAAAGGAGAAGGCAAAAGAGATTAAATTGGCCTCAAAAAGTAGTCTCATAGCTAATAAGAAGAAGATGAACAATGTCCTAGCCATGTGGAAGCAAAGGAATCAAGAAGGGCAGGCCATTTAATTGTCCTTGATGGCAAAGAACCATCAAGTTCTAATGATAAATTTAATCATTCACATAGTGGAACTGGATTCTCTTTGAAAAGCAAGCTGAATTCTGACTTTGAAAATGCTATGGATAATTCTCTTGGCCAAGGAATTGCATCGACCCAAATGTTGGATTCAATGTAAAGCCTAGACCTGTCAGTAACAGCTTAGGGACTACAGTTATGGGTGTCATAAGAGGTTCTGCTAGAGGAGTGATCAAGTCGGATACTACGTTTCATGCATTATCTGATGCTGGGAGCACTGACTCCCGCACTACTATAACCACAAGAGCAAGTGGGTTAATGACAAGTCCTGAGGCACTTGTAACTCCTGCACCCTTCAAAACTGATGTGTCTGCCTTAGTCTCTAATACTTCATCGGGAGTTTCTGGGAGTGGTAAACGTCGATTTTCTGAGGCACGAGTGCAATCCCAGTACAGGGATCGAGCTGCAGAAAGACGAAATCTGTATGGATCATCTCTTGGCACTGATGCTGTTGGACTGGATTCAAGTAAGAATACACTTTTTTAAGTTTTTATCACGTACAATTGCTGCCATTTTTCCATTGTCATTCCTTCAACACGTTGTGTTAGTAACAGCAACATACTGTCTGTCCAGGGTTTTTTTTTTTGTTTTGTTTTGTTATTCTCATCATTATCATTTTGCTGAAGCGTCGTTAGCAGTATGCTCAGTTTCGTATTAGTGTTTAACTGTTTATATAAGGCTGACTTGGGTATTTCTGGGGATTTTGTTGTTACCATTGGAATATGTCCTTGACCTAACATACAGTTTAGGGATGATATTTTCGGTTTTGCTTGTAAGATTTTTTATTGATTTTCTGGAAATTACCTGTTGTCAAGCTGGTGACTATCCGTCCCGAAAGGGTTCAAGTGAGATAGGGTCGATGCCGTTTCCTCCTGGTGTGGGTGAACGTTCCAGTGGTGAAATTGGCAACAGCGAAAACTATGAAATTATTACCACTGATAGAGCAATTGACGAAAGCAATGTGGGCAACCGTATTCTACGCAACATGGGGTGGCAAGAGGGACTGGTAAGTTCATCTCCCACATATTTCTCAGTCTAAGATGCTCTCAGGCTTGATAGCATTTTTTTTACAATGTCTCCTGCATTTGGTCATGAGTGTTTATGCCCCCTTTTTATTTCTCCTGCTACTGCAAATGCATCTCACTTTGGAATCTGATTTATGTAAGTTTTTTTGAGCCGGTAAATATGCCTATTTGTAATGAGGTAGCAGTATCAAATTTATTTTAATGCAACTCTCTGGTTTTAACTGGAGTACTCTAGAGCTTGGTAAAGCTGTTAGTATCAGTTAGCAAATCTTAAGTTTGTCTTGTTGATCTCTTTCCAGAAATAACTAAGTATACCTCTGTGTCTTGACTAGTTGATTCTGAGTCCATGTGCTTCCTTGTGTCTAGACTCTACAGTTTAAGAATCAGAAGTCACTGACATATTTAGCCTGAGTGAGAAGATGTCTAGTGGGAATGAATAGTTTGTTGGGCACAAGAAGTGACCGGATGCAGGGGGAATCAGTGTGCCCATATTCCCTACATTGTGGAAAGTGTGAAAATATTATGTTGTATTCCTTCTGATGTGAGTGTGCATTTTGTATTGTTTTTGTTTCTTGCAACTACTTCGAAAATATCCAGGGTCTTGGAAAGGATGGCAGCGGTATCAAGGAACCAGTCCAGGCAAAATCCGTGGACGTCAGGGCTGGACTGGGAAGTCAGCAGCGAAAGGCTGATCCATCCCTGGAGGCCCAAGCCGGGGACAGCTACAAAACCGTCATCCAGAAGAAGGCCATGGCAAGATTCAAGGAGATGTCCTAGCTAGAGTTTTTTTTCCCTATTCGGTTGGCGCATTTTGTAGTCCGTTTACTTTTCTTACGGTCTCTGCACTGCTTTGCTTGTGCTTTTTCATAAACCTAGCTACTGAATTGTGATTTATTATCCTCAAAGGGCACTGTGTTTATCTTATTACTATGTAGTTCGAGACCTGGATGCTTTTTTCTTGTGTGTTGGGATTTTCATTTGCACGAAGCCCGTGTGTTGAATGTTGATCTGTTGCTTTGCCACACGTGATGTGGCAGTAGAGCCTCTACATCAGATCGTGGCACATGTTTTTTTAAACGGTGTCACAGATTGATGAATTTATAAAGTTGCTCCGAGGCTCGCCCGCTCGGCCCCGACGCCCTCACGCGGCGACGGTAGCTCCACCGGGATTGAGAAAAACTGCTGCATGTTCTTTTATTGTTTGATTGAGGGAGGGGTTATTTTGAGGGATTGAGAAAAGCTTTTTATTTAGGAAAAGACGATTGAAAAGGGAATCTGCTGGAGTTTTTCCCCTTTCAATCTCTTATTACTTTATATAGAGAAAGGACATTAATTTTACTTAATCTCATGGAGTTGTTCTGAGAGTTTTTTTGGGGGCAAAATTTACTTTAGGACACTGAAAGTGACCTCCGTTTGGAAACAGTGAGATTTGCTGCATGATATTTTGGTTCTTAATAAATTTGCTGGTAGACATTGTGCCAAATAAAATATTTGTTTCAGGCTTTTGAGGAGAGAGAAGCGCCCCTGCCTCTTTTTTGTTCCCCTCTCCAAAGCACTCAATTGTAGAACTTTCAGCAATCCTTAAACCTTCACCCAATAGATTTGTTGGATGCTGTAGGCCAACATTCGCATAGGTGTTGTGCGCTCAAGTAACGGCGTGGCTAGCGCCCTCGCCTGGTCGTCTACATGCTCGGCCGCCTGGCTGTCTGCTCGCCCAGTCGATCGCTGCCCTTCTTGCTCGCCCGGCTGCAGCTTGTGTCTGCTCGCTCGGCCGCCTGCTCGTCTCTGCTAGTCCGCTTGGCCGGTTTGCTCGCCCGGCCACCTGGTCACATCCGCTTGCCTGCTCACCCGCTTGGAACAACTTAAACATATGCAACACCTAGGGATGGATCCATGCAAAGTGGGCTCTAGCCGCCCCCCCAGGCGTCCGATGGCGGACCATGGAGCCCCCCTTAACCTCTCCTGGAAATTTTTGCCATGGATGCACATTAAGAAGAGGTTAAAGCTGTCTAGAGGTTGAAGAAGCCCCCCTAACATTTATCCTGGATTTGTTCTTGGCAGCACTAGATCTACTTTTGCAACATTCAGATAAAACACTTGTAGCATACGTCTAAAATAGCTAAAACACCACGTTTGAAAACTTATAAAACATCTGAAAACTCTTGAAAAGCCATCACAAGCATATGCAACTTTCAGATAAAACACTTGCAACATACTCCCTTTATCTCTAAATAAGTGTCGTTTTTTTTCCGTGTCATAACTTTTACTAGTTTTATAGAAAATATGTGCATCATTTGTACCTCCAAATAATTTATTGTGGAAATAGGTTCATCGATCTATCCAATGATATTAATTATATATCATAAATATTAATACTTTTTTATTTTCCGAGAATCGAGAACGACAGTTATTTAGGGACAGAGAGAGTACGCGTGAAACATATGCAACATCTTAACCACACTTGCAACATGCTTCTGAAAAACAAATGAAACATTTGGAATACACCCTTGCAACATGTTGTATAGCTATTGCAACATATGTAACATTCCGATCTACTTTGCAACGTGTGAAACATTTGCAACGAACCTCTGAAACACTTGAAACATACGTTTGCAACATGCGCTTTCGTCGTTGCAAAGCTCGACGCCGGCGCGGAGGTCGGCGGCGGTGCATGGAGCTCACCGGTGCCCTAGCGGAGGCACGGTGTTGGGTGAGCACCTACGCGAGGAGCGCCCCTGGTGAGCGGCTAGCAGCCGGCGAGCACCTCCTGCCTGGCGTAGCTGGCTAGCACGAGCAGCCCTGCGAGCACCGCTGGGTATGGGTAGAGAGATTTTTTTTAAAGAGGCGCGGATGGGAACAAGCAGACAACGCGGTAACGAATGGGAAGAGACGTCCGTCCATCCCGACGTCCTCATGGGAGCATTATCGCTTAAGTAAAGGTGAAAACCTACCTTGCCCAAGGTATCTCTACGTTGACGAAAATATGGAGACCACTCACCACGAGTGCGCACGGTACACTCAAATAGATGCCTCTTCATCCTAAACCCTCCGCCTAAATTGAGCATCAGTGTATATTGGGTTGTCGCAAAAGTAATCAGCTTGTAACCACCTGTTTGCTTCTTCCCGATTCTGATCTATGTACATTCGAGTCCCACTTTGGCACTGATTGGTCATTGGTAATTTGGTATTATTACAGGTGAGCAACCTCTAAATCAACCTCCTCTTGAATCTTTGCTTCGAGTTCTTCAATCTCAGCTTCAAGCAGATCATCGATGAACTTCCACAAGAGTTTCTCGAAGTCACACTCAGTATTGATGCGTGGTTTGAGTTTTGGGTCTAGGAATTTGACTTTGGCGTGCCTGGAGTGTATAAATTGGCGTCACGGTGGCCTAGTCGTGTCTGCTTCCTCGAGAGTTGAGGCCGATTGTGCCACGGTTGCAGAGAAGATGTTGCTTGATTTAGGAGATAGATCACTGGTGGTGCAGGTCATTTCATGAAGCCCGTAACGAAGGTCTATGCTTGCGAGGCCTCTCGGCCTCGGGGGCTAATATTGGAAGAGAGCAAAATAAAGTGGCACACGTAACTCGCGCACACTTAACAATTATTACATCTATCCTAAATTATAAGACTTTTGATTTTTTTTACCTAAGTTTGACCACTTATTTAAAAAATCTATGTAAACATAGTCAAATTTAAGTCATTTTTGAAAACTTTTATTAATAAAGCAAGCCACGACAAAAGAAGTGATATTTTGTATAATTTTTGAATAAGACAAGTGGTCAAATTTAGTGTTAAAAATGTCACACGTCTTATAATTTGGGATGGAGGAAGTACTAGATTAATGCATAGTTGCGTGCCTTTGTGTGTGTTTTGACAAAGAATCTTTTATACTGTATAAGATAGAGCAGTGTTAGAGCATCTTCAAGAGTTTTTTTAAATCTCACTCTCTAAATCATTATTTGGAGAGCTATTTTCATATAAATTGCTTTTTATATATCTTTTCACTCTCCAACAGTTTTTCTATATCTCATGCGCACTATAGAGTGTCATTCTCGTCTTCTATTTTTGGCTAGCGAAAAATCTAGAATAAAAAATAGCTATATTTAGATGACAATTTAGAAAAGCTATTATATGGTAGTTTGTTTACTAAAAATCTCTTTTTCTAACATTTAACATTTAGGAAAGATGCAGAGAGTCATTTCAGATGCTCTTACAAACTCCAAACTGCTCACTCTGCCATCTTTTAGAGTGAAAGATGGGCCATTGAAAGCACCAATGACTAGACCATAAGGGTGGCCCGTTCGAGGACGGCCCATGGTACTTCACCACAAACACCACTACCCCCATCACCTAGCCCACTATATAAATAGCCACTTCACCCACCCCTAGGGTTTTCCGTGCCGCCAGCCAGCTCCTTAACCCTCGTTCCTCTCGCGCAGCCATAGCCTCAGCCTCCTCCTCCACCTCCACATCTCCCCCGGCGGCGGCGCGGCCAGCTTCAACCATGGCGGACTCCAAGGCCACCTCAGCGGTCACCCTACGCACCCGCAAGTTCATGACCAACCGCCTCCTCGCCCGCAAGCAATTCGTAAGCGGCATCCATCAGACCAACACCTCCCATCGGTGCTCCCCTTCTCGTCCCCCATCTCTCACTAAATCGCTGCCTCTCCTTCCTCTGTCTTGCAGGTGCTTGAGGTGATCCACCCCGGCCGCGCCAACGTCTCCAAGGTGAGATCTCGGCCCCAGTCCTTTATGCCCCGTCTCATGTGGCGGGAGCGTCTGGCCTGGATCTCAGGGTTGTTCTGTTTGTTCTCTGTGTGTAGGCGGAGTTGAAGGAGAGGCTTGCCAAGGTGTACGAGGTGAAGGACCCCAACACCATCTTCGTCTTCAAGTTCCGCACCCACTTCGGAGGAGGCAAGTCCACTGGCTTCGGCCTCATCTACGACAACCTCGAGGCTGCCAAGAAGTTCGAGCCCAAATACCGCCTCATCAGGGTATGTTGTCGTCTGGCCCTTGCTTTTGTTGCCTGTAGCTATGATGTTAAGCGCTTGCATATAGAAGTTTGATAGTTGGACAGTAAAATGCCTGATTACTGATTTAGTACCGTTGGCATCATATGTGTCACTGTTGTTATACAACTTTTGTTAACCCTGCTGTTCTGTCACATTGTTTTTGTGGGAGCATCATTGCACCTGTGAAACTAGAGATTAGTTGTGACAGCACAGCTTTTCTGTAAATGGTTTCACATTGATATGCACGCTCACGCAAATTGTTTGTAAATGGTACCTGTGATTGAGATTGTGCTAGTAGAAACTGAAGGACAGGTAATCTTTGTGCCGAAACTACAGTTTTTTGTAGTGTGCCGTCCATTCTTGTTCTAAGCTGAGAAACTGTTTTTACCACACAATTTTGTCATTGTAATATTTTCATTTACGTCACAATAGGTCAACTTTAGGTACTCAGTCTATGATGACAATATCATGATGCAATCTAATTTCAACATTGAACAAGAACTGTTTGTGATATACATCCTCTTTGGCAGCTCTTTTCCCTTGCTGGTCTTTTGATAGTAGTATTAATGCATGACTGAAATGATTATGCCATTGTTGGATTGTAAGTTCTGATTGACATGAACCTGATGGATGTTCACTGTACTGCTGCTACTGAGGCTATTCCTTTGCTTATTTTTTTTGTGTTCCGTTTTTCCAGAATGGTCTTGCTACTAAGGTTGAGAAGTCCCGCAAGCAAATGAAAGAGCGGAAGAACAGGGCCAAGAA